CAACATCTCTGAAAAAAAAAAAAAATAAAATAAAGTGCGGTTATTCCTACCGAGAAACTTTTTTTTTAAGAAATAGAACTCTTAATGTTAAATGAATTAGCAATCCAAACCCCACCCCAATTTCCTGTTTTTCTCGTGGGGGGGGGGGGGGGCGCCCACACACGGGAGGGAGTGGGTGCACACGTGCACCTCTGAGGACACTCCAAGGACACCAGGCGACAATTAATAATAATTTATAACTAGCAAACACTACGGGCTAAGTGCTCTACTTCATTTTTTCTCTACCAGTTTATGAAGTCAATGCTATAAAACAGCAGCGCGGTGGGGAGTGGATGGGGCGCAGCGAAGGACTTAATTTACCTCCAATTATTGTGTCCTTTGATAAAGTTCCTGCGGTGCTTGGGGAAGGGGTGGTACCTGGCTTTTTTAATGTTCCAATTACAGTTGATACCATATTAGTTTCAGGTGTACAACGTGGTGGTTAGACAAGGGGTGGTACCTGCCTTAAAGTCAGTGCTCACCAGAAGATAAGCTTTTATTTATTTGCTGTTCATCGCCTCTGAGCCTCTGTTTCTGTTGTAAACCCAGGATCAGAATCCTGCTGTTAGCCTCACAAGAAATCCTCTATGTCAAGAGTTGAGCTCAGAGGCAGGCTCATGCTAGTAGGTGCTATGTCTTTTATTCTATTTTTATTTACTAACATAGCGTATTAACAGTCTTTAGCTTCTCTGGGACAAGCGTTTTGCCCTTTTGGGGACTCGGTTTCTCCCTGTGTAATGCATGGGAGCTGACCTGGTAGGGTACATGGAGTTGGTGTCCCCAGGGCCTAACAATTGCCAGGAAAGTTGGCACTTGAACTTTCCAGGAAGCGTTTGCCTGGATACAGCAGCCCCCACCTCCACCCCAGACCAGCAGAGACCCAGAAATGCCAGCCAATCTACAGAACAATTTCACACTTAGGAACCCAGTGTGGTTCTGCAGCCCCCAGACACACCATCTCATCCATCAAGCCCGCCCCATGCAGAGATGCCCACAATGCATTTAGGCAGAACACACAAGCCCAAACAGCTGGAGGTTGCATACTTATCTGCAGAACACATGTGCACATATTTGCCCTTCTGCATACACCCCAGGCCTGTACACCAACAGAGGACCCAGCCCCAGGGGAGAGCTACCAGTTCATGCATGTCACACACACACCGGCTCACTCTTATGCACTCCCCCATGACTACAAACTCCACACACGTGTCCAGGCAGATAGGCCCTTGCCAATGACACCTTTTTCCTGCTCAGGAGCTGGGGACTGACTCACCCACTCCTCAGAGCCCACACAGGAGCCCTGGGGGGGGAGAGGAGGTTCCTGCGAACGGCTGGCATAGCCGAGCCAGGGTGAGGGGGCCGGCTCCGGACCCAGAGCAGGTGGCCCTGCAGCTGTGCTGAGACTGGCCCTGCCAACCTGCTCACCCACTTGGACAAGCCTAGAGCCCCCGGGCAGCCTGCTGGGACCCAAGGTTAGGCGGCCCACTGAGGAGGCACCTCCTACCGGGGAATGGAGCAATGGAAGTCCTGCCTCAGACAAGCTGGGGCTCTGGGTAAGTCCCTTTCCTCTGGATCTCACTTCCTCCATCTTGGCAAGTGTGCAGGTGGGCCCAGTGACCTGATTCTCCAACTTAAATACCTCTCAACCCAGAGGGGCCTCGGCAGGTTGATCTGCATTATAAAAGCCTCCCCAGATGGCTCAATGACCGCTTTGAGAAACCCTGGAGTATTTAACTTTATGACAATAGGGAACAGGAAAATGACCGGTGATGGGGGAAAGAACACTTTTAAAAGACACCGGAAACACAGTGCAGGTCGGTGAAAGGGACAGTCCAGATGTGGCCTTCCAGTCCCGGCCGCCCCCCCCCCCAGCGCCAGCTGCGAAGAGGGTCAGGGGCCACCCCCCCACCCAGGCCCCTCCCCTCCATCCAAGAACACTGCAACTTTACCATCATCTAAAGTATTTGTTTAATAACAACAGAAAAAAAAAAACAACCCCACAGAACTATTGTAAAACAATATTCTCAGTCGGTGATCATTGTAATATACAATACAAAGCAATAATTTCCTCAGAAATCTGAGAAGCACCAAACGTGACCATTTTTTAAAATGTCTGCTTTTCAAAAAATAGAAACACACGGGGGGGAAACTCCCCCAAGTCTCTGGTGGCTGATAGCTGTGGAGGGAAGATCGGCCTGTCCCGTCAGTCCCCCAGCCCGGGGCTGGATCCACAGGCGCCCGGAGGCCGCTGGTCTGTCCTGTTCCTCCCCAGCTGCGGCAGGCGCTCGGGAGGGCCAGAGCGCACTCGTTCCTCTCGCCCCTGGAGGGCTGGGGTCGGCGGGGTCTGGAGCACGCGCTTCAGCGACACAAGATGCGGTCGTCCGCGGGGACACACGCCGCCTGTGAAACGAAGAGAGAAGAGGTGAGACGGGCGGGCGGGCTGGAGGGGACGGGGCTGCAAGCCGCCCCCTCCCCAGCAGACACGAGAAGGAGCGCTTCTTCCCATGTCCTTGGGAACCCCGACCCAGCCAGGCACCCGGAAGGATAGGGTCGGCGGAGGGTCCAGTCCCCCCTCCCTCGCCGGGACTCAGTTTCCCCATCTGCAGGCAGAGAACGATCTGGTGTTCCAACGCGGACCTCACCTCGGCAGCCAGGGCGCTGATCTCGCCGTTGAGGGTGCTGAGCGGAGCCCGAGCGGGCAGCCCCCGGGCCCCGGGGGTCCCGACTTGAGATTCCGAGTTCAGTTCTAGCTCCAGGTCCCAGATGTAGTCGATGACGTGCTGGAGGATCTCCACCCTGCTCACCTTGCGGTTCTGGGGCAGGGTGGGCACCAGCTCCTTGAGGCGCGAGTAGCAGCCGTTCATGTCGTACAGCAGCACGTTGACCTGCTGCTCGTCCAGCAGGGCGGGCAGGCGCGCGCCGGGGCCGCCGGCGCAGCGGGAGATGGCCACGCTCTGCTCGGACAGGCAGCGCACCACCTCGCCCGCCGTCTTGCCGGCCTTGAGCGCGCAGCTGGGGCCCGCGGCGGCCGCGGCGTTGCCACTGGCGACCTTCATGATTCTGGCGTCGGGGTGAGCGAGGAGGCGGGAGCTGGGCGTGCAAGAGGAGACCTCCGCGCGGCAGAGACGGTTGTAGAAGGCACGCTCCGAACCCCGCAGCCGGATCGTTATAAAGACGCCGCGTCCCCGCCCCGAGGGGCGGGCCCAGACGTTCAAAAGCAGCCAATGAGAGGCCTGCAGGTGTGGCCTCGAGCGCCTCTGGGCCCCGCCTCCCGCTCTACTATTGTACCCTGGAGGGCGTGGAAAGGGGACCCCGAATCTCAAGGAGAGAGAGAGAGTGGGAAGGCACGGGACAGGGTGGCTACCTGGGAACCTCGGGGAGGAGGCAAGGAGGCTAAATCGATATTGCCGATAACAAAGAGACCAAGAATCCGTTTTCCCGGGTTCGTTTTCTCACCTCTCCACCTCCATTTTACAGATGAGAGAAACTGAGGCCCGGATGAAGAAGCGGCTGGCCCTGGGTCGCCCAGAGAGCCTGGGCTTCTGGATCCTGTTGGAAGACTTCTGGGACCCTGATCTCGCGAATATTTGGTCCGAAATTAAAGCGGGCCCTCCTTTCACACTCAGAACGGGCTCGTCTCTCTTTCCCAATTGCCAGGGAGTGTTGTTAATGTCCTGGAACCAGGGCGACTTACCCAGGCCCCTCGGGGTGGGAGCATTTAATTTGGGAAAGTCTTCCCCTAGGACTGGGGGCTGGGCCTCTGGGACCTGAACTGGATAGATGGCTCCCAGAGTGGGGCTGCATCTCCTAATTCTACTCTGAATTTGCAGCCCCTTGCAAAAATTCCCTAAATCTGCATCAACTAGTGATTTTTAAATTTTTCTCCCTTTTTTCGGAGGTTTCCCCTCTAAAAAAGATTTCGGATCAGGTTCTCCCACAGCGCGGCAGCTGCAGAGCTCCAGTCCCCCTCTCCTCCCACCCTCCCCCCGCCGGGCTTCCCGGGCTGGTCTGTGTCAGCGTCTGAACAAGAGGCTCAGACCGTTAGACGCCAGGCCCGTGACGTCACCCATTCATAAAACCTGGACGGGCTGTCAGGCTGGCGCCGCGCGGGCGGTCGCCATGGAGACGGCAAACCCGGCTCCCGGCGCTACTCGGGGCCCCGCCAGTCACCTGCGGACCTCCGGCAGGAGGCCTGGGAATGTGCTCCTCACGGGCGCGGTCGCCGGGCAAGGGTCACCTTACCTCCCCGCCCCACACCTGGAATCTCCCCACCAGGCCCACAGCTTGGGCCGCTTGGGAGGTTTCCTCACCGCCTCCTCCCCATCTCCAGTTCCCCTTACTGCCTGGGGAAAGGGGCCCGAGTTCCGATTCCCAGCTCTGCTGCTGGGTGAATTTAGTTGTGTCTCAAGCCCTCTGAGCCATACTATCTGCCCGGTTTGTTGATGATGATCACACAAGTGACGATTTATTGCGTTCTTACTTCCTGCCAGGCAGGCACTGTGTGAAGAGTTTGCCTGTATCATCTTCTGGAATCCTTGCTACAACTCCAAAGAGAGGAGCTGTTTGGTTTCTTTATACAAAGGAGGAAACTGAGGCTCAACAAGCCTCCCAGGAGCCACACTGTTGTAATGGCTGCATTGTTAATAACAAGGGCACTTCATTGTAATGCAGCCCCGTCCAGTCTGCCTCCAGAACCCTAGATGGACCAGAGCTGTGGAAACCGCATAGCCACCCGAAGCCACACCCGAAGCGTGAGGAGGCTAAAATTCTGCGCTCACACAGGAGGGGGTGATATTACCCCCCCTACACACACACACACACACACACACACACACACACACACACAACAATTAATTCACTGGGTGTCAGGTTTCCTTTTTCTACAGAAGTTTGCAGAAGGGGGTCAATAAACCAGCCCACTGCATCCACATGAGGAAAACAGGAAAACTGATCAGGGAGACTAGCTTCAAAGGAGAGACATCATCAATTAATTAGCTGGACTCCCCATCCTCTTATGACACCCCGCAAGCTCTCCAAACTCCCTAGGCTTGTTTTGCAATCCTCTAATGATTGGAGAGAACATTTTGCTGTGCAGAAGAATTGCTAAAGAATTGGAAGGACAATGACCAGCGGGAGAGGAAATTAGAATATTAATTTACTATTGAGTGATTATTAATTGACCTAGCAATTCTTTTTGCTGGTATCAATTCCAGACACACACACACACACACACACACACACACACACACACAGGCACAAAGATGTCTGCTCAGCCCTGGCTGGTGCGGCTCAGTTGGTTGGGCATCATCTGTGCACCAGGAGGTTGCCGGTTGGATTCTGGGTCAAGGGCACGTGCCGGGGTTGTGGACTCGATCCCTGACAGGGCGTGTGCTGGAGGCAGCCGATCCATGTTGCACTCTCACATCCATGCTTTTCTCTCTCTCCCTCTCAGTGCCTCTCTCTCTAAAAATCAGTAAACTATTGTTTTTAAAAAAGAATGAGACATTCCTTTTAAAAAAATGTCTTCCCAAAGATGTTCGTTGAGGTGCTATTTACAAGAGGGGAAGTTAAAATAACCTAAATATCCAGCAAATGATATTGCGTGGTATTATATAAGGATGAATGGAACATCAGTGCTGTGGACTGGCCCTGCGGCAGGGGAAGTTTGGTTCTGAAAGATATCTAGATGCTGTTGGTAGAGGAAGCAAGAGTTAGACTGGGGGTTAAGGTAGGACCTCTTGTAAGAAAGCAAACATACTGCGCCTAAGTACATGTGTATCTGGAAATGAATTTAAAATGAGAGGAAATTATGCTGCGGAAAATTTCAAACACAATACTGTGTGCTTTCTCTCAGATGAAGTTCTAAAACTCACAACTAATGTACGATGAAAGCAATCAGAATGGGGGCTGCCTCTGGGAGTGTGGGAGTGGAGCGTGGGAGTTGCCAGGCAAGGGGTGTGAGGGAACGTTCTGGAGTGATGGGAATGTTCCCTGTCATGCTGAGGTGTGCATTACACAGTGTAAGAGTTAGTCAAAACACATTGAACTATATAGTTTTGTGCATTTCACTGTATTTAAATAGCACCTCAAAAAATATTAGAAAGAAAAAAAAAGGATAAATACCAAATTACTACTGTTACCACTGTGAAGAGGAGTGAGGGGAAGGAGAACAATGTGAAATTAGGATTTCACTTTTATCTTCACATAGGTATTTGATTTTTTTCCCCCTTAAGCAGTCTTATTGAAGTACTAGAGGCCCAGTGCATGAAATCGTGCACGGGGTGGGGGAAGGGGCCCCCAGCCCGGCCTGCACCCTCTCGCAGTCGGACATCCCTCTTGCAATCCGGGACCACTGGCTCCTAACCGCTCGCCTGCCTGCCTGCCTGATTGGCCCTAACCGCTCACCCACCTGCCTGATCGCCCCTAACTGCCTCTGCCTTGGCCCCTGCTGTGGCAGCTTCGTTGGGGATGACGTCTGAAGGGTCATTCGGCTGTCTGGTCTAATTAGCATATTACTTTTTTTTATTATTATAGATAATTGACATACACAAAGTGTATATATTTGAAGTGTATGACTTCATAAGTTTCTCTCTTTCTTACTCATGAACTATTGCCACAATCAAGACAATTATCATATACTTAATCAACCCTAGAAGTTTTCTTTTGCCCTTCGTAATCCCTCCCCACTCTTCCACTCAGTGTCTAGGTAACTGGTTATCTGTTTTATCCTATAGTTTGCATGTTCTAGAATTTTATATAAATGAAGTACAGTATATATACACAGTATAAACATACATAATGTATATACAGTGCTTACTCTTTATTGTAGCTTTGTCAGCCTACTTTTTTTCTTAACGCAGAATAATTATTTTGAGATTCATTCATGTTCATTCATTTTTATTGCTTAGTAGTAGTGTATGGATATACCACAATTTGCTTATCCATTTACTTCTAGGTTGTTTGTAGTTTTTGGTTAGTACAAATAAAGCTGCTTTGAACAGTTGTATACATGTGTTTATATGAATCTGTGCTTTCAGTTCTGTTAGGCAAACAGTAGTGGAATGATTGGGTCACACAGTAGGTATTTACTTAATTTAATAAGAAACTATTCAAATGTTTTCCCAAGAGGTGTATCGGCAGTGTGGAGAGCCCAGGTCCCCCACGTCCTCTCTAACGGTTGATGTGGTCAGTCGTTTTCAGCAATTCTAATAGATGTGTGTAGTATCTCGCTGTGGTTTTAATTTGTATTTTCTTTTTTAATTTTTAATTTTTATTTTTATTGACTTTTAGAGAGAGAGAGGAAGGGAGAGGGAGACAGAGTGAAACATCAATTGGCTGCTTCCTGCATGCCCCCTACTGGGGATTGAGCCTGCAACCTGGGCATGTGCCCTGACTAGGAATTGATCTGTTAGCCTTTCTTTCTTTTCTTTTTTTTTTTATCTTTAATTTCTTTATTGGTTAAGGTATTACAAATGTGTCCTCATCCCCCCATTAACCCCTAACTCCCCCCCCCCCCCACTCATGCTCTTATCCCCCTGTTGTCCATGTCCATTGGTTTGGCTTATATGCATGCATACAAGTCATTTAGTTGATCTCTTCCCCTTACCCCCACCCTCCCCTACTTTCCCTCTGGGGATTAATAGTCTGATCGCTGTTTCTCTGTCTATCTGGTAGCCTTTCAGTGCATGGGATGAAGCCCAGGCAATTGAGCCACACTGGCCAAGGCTTTAATTTGTATTTTCCGAGTGACTAAAAATGTTGATCATCTTTGTATGTGCTTATATGTCATCCATATATCTTCTCTGGCAAAGTGTCATTCATTCTTTGCTCATTAAAAAATTAGTTTTAGATAATTGTAGATTCACATGAAGTCATGAGAAATAATAGAGAAACCCCTGATATCCTTTACCCACTTTCCCTAATGGAAGCATCTTGCATAAATATAGTACAATATTACAAGAAGATTTCACATGAAATTCAGATTTCACCTGATTGACATGCTTCCCTTTGTATGTGTATTTAGTTCTCTGCAGTTTTATCACGTGCAGATTCCTGTGAGCACCACCAGAGTGAAGACACAGAACAGCTCCATCACAAGGATCCCTTGTGCTACCCTTTAATCTTTTGTCCATTTCTGTTCACTTGGTTTTTGTCTTCTTATTATTGAGTTTTGAGAGTTCTTTATGTTTCGAATACAAATCCTTTATCAGATACATGAGTTACAAATATTTTCTCCAGTGTGTCTCATCTTTTAATCTCCTTACTGGCGTCTTTTGACGAGCAAAAGTTTTAGATTTTGATGAAGTCCAATTTATCAATTTTTAATATTATGAATCATGCTTTTCTTGTCATATTTAAGAAATCTCTACCTAATCCAAGATCACAAAGATTTTCTCCTATATTTTCCAGAAGGTTTATAGCTTTAGGTTTTTATAGTTTTAGGTCTCTGATCCAATATACATAGGTATTTCTTGAATACATTTTTTAAACAGAAGTGTATTCGTGAAATATTTTGTGTAATAAAAAGCCAACTTTAAATGTTTCGTATATCTCACTCTGGCCTGACTGATGGTTGGGATGAGGTGGAATGTCAAAGACACTTTGCAG